CTGCCAACCTCAGGGAACCCGGTGGCCAAGATGAGTCCGTCTGAAGGGGTGGCCATTAGATGAGTAACCAATGAACGTCGTCCCAAGTCTTGCTGGCCCAGCCCCCTCTGGGCAACAAATGTTGGATCCCTCATGGAGGTGTCGCAGGCCAACGACGTCATAAACCCGACATCACAGGGTCAACTGGATGGAACTGCTGAGCTGCATGGGGCAGATCCCCCAAGTGATCATGGGAGAGAGGCAACGAGAACGGCGATGGGTCAAAAAACAGGGTGGGGAGTGACACGTAAACCTAAACTCTACTGTACCCTCTAGCCCAACGCTCATGACGCCCTAAACCCCAATGACAAGTACCTTCAGCCCCAAGGTCCATGACGCCCTCAGTCCCAACACCCATGATGCCTTCAACCCCAATGCCCATGACACCCTCATCACGTACCCCCATGATGCCTTCTCCTCCTACCCATGAGTCTTTGCCTTAACCCCACAAGACCCTCAAATCCAGGATAACCCTAATCCAGTGGTAAGCTTTGCCCCATTATAACCACATCCCTGTCCACAGTGCTATCATGGTCACTCTCTTCCGAGCACCCTCGGTCGGCCAAAACACAAGGAAAATCGTGGTAGGGCTCCACTCAGTGACCTCAGTCATCAAGTGCCTGGGTTTGGTTTCCAGCAAGCCCGGGCTGGGCTAACCCCAGGCAGAGCAGAACGAGAGCGGGAACAACCTGCTCAGCAAGTGGAATTTACCAGCTCTTCTTTGCTTGCTTGGGTAAGCAAGTAATCCAGCCCCATTATTCTCCACTGCGCCAGGGATGGGCTCGCCGGTGCCCATAAAAACCGGCCCAGAATTTGCATCCCCAGCTGGGTTTTGAGCCGAGAGATGGAGGCAGCTGTGCATGGTCATGAGAGGCCTGGGGAAGGCTGAACCATGGGGCCCCTCCGCTCCCTGTTGGCCCTAGTGCTGCTGGTGATGACCTTGCTGCAGGGTGAGAGAGGGGTGGGGGTGTAGGACCCAGGAGGAGGGGGAGGGAATTGAGCTAGGGAATAACGGGGGGAATCAACCCCTTGGTGCTTCCCAGAGCCCTGCGGTCTGGATTGGTGCCTTCAGTGCTGAGTAGCCCCATTCAGATCAGTGAGGAGTGTTGATTCTTGAACCTACTGATGGTAAATCAACTAGGGACATGGCCAAAAAGTGGTGTTGGTGCTGCAGAGAGCAGGGCTGTTCTGGGGCAATGAGCGGGGCTGGGAATTATGGGTGGAGCTACTGGAATGCATTGCCCTCCACACACCTCCTCAGACCCCAGCAGCACCTGTGAACATACCCCCAACCTTGACCCCCCCCCCACACACACACATTAATGTCTTTCCCTTCTCTTTTGTCACTTGCTAGGTGCTCAGGGGAGCTGGAATCACACAAGTAAGAGCTCAGAACAAAACACCAGCCTTACCTGCCCTGGACTGGCCTTGAGGAGGTGGTTGGGAGCCAGGACTGCTAGGCTGTGTCTAGACTGCATCCCTTTTCCGTAAAAGGGATGTAAATTAGACACATTGCAATTGCAAATGAAGCGGGGATTTAAACCCCCCCCGCTTCATTAGCATAAAAATGGCTGCCGCTTTTTTCTGGCTCGGATCTTTGCCAGAAAAAAGCGCCAGTCTAGACGGGGATCTTTTGGAAAATAAAGCCTTTTCCGAAAGATCCCTTATTCCAAGAGCCTTGAGCATGAGAGTGACCCTGACGGGGAATCGCAGGAATCTCAGGAAAGATTCAGAGTCAAACCTCCACCCTTGAGCTGCGCAGCTCACTTGGGCGCCCAGATCCGGAGAAGGGTTCGTGCCCCAGACCCTGGCGGGTGCCACAGACGCTGGATTCCCTCGGGCCGGGTGTGACGCTGTCTGTAGTGACCAGCACGCGTTCCCTGCTGGAATCTGTCTCGGCAAAGCCCAAACCCGGCCGGCAGCAGGGCGCCCCCCCGCCA